CCTGGTTCCTTCCACGGGACTTGCCGTCCCCACTGATCACAAGGGGGAGCCCGTTCCCCACGGGGTTCACTCTTAGTTGCGAGATCCCCGCGGTGGTGGCTCCTTCCGCAAGCTGGCTGCCACCGCCCTCTGTCGCCATGGACACGAGTGACCCCCATTGGAGCAGCGTTCTGGGGGCGGGGCCTCCCGGGAACCACACCCACTCGGCGGAGCGTTCCGAGGCCATCTTGTGCACTGGGGAAAGGGGGGGCGGGGCTGGCCGGAAGTGGAAGGGCCACCTAGCCCGAGGCCCTCTTCCTGTGGCAGCTGACAAACTGCATCATGGGACTTGTAGTCCTTTGGCTTCAATGCCAGTAGGCTCTACCCCAGTCCCACCCTTTCTTGAACCACCAGGCTAAGCCCAGAATTTGGCCAACTCCGTCAGGTAGACACATCTGCTTGCCTTTGTTACAATTTTTTAAAATATGTATTTTATTGATTTTTTTACAGAGAGGAAGGGAGAGGGATAGAGAGTTAGAAACATCGATGAGAGAGAAACATTGACCAGTTGCGTCCTGCACACTCCCCACTGGCTATGTGCCTGCAACCAAGGTACATGCCCTTGACCAGAATCGAACCTGGGACCCTTCAGTCCGCAGGCCGACGCTCTATCAACTAAGCCAAACTGGTTAGGGATATATATATATATATATATATATATATATATATATATATATATATATAATTTTTTTTTTTAATAACCATGCCTGAGCAGTCTCTGCACCGGGAGGGTCAGCCTCAATTAGCACGCGTGCCCTCAAGCGCCTTATCAGACTGCCCCTTCACTGTCCATCCACTTTATCTGATTCTGATGGCCACTTCCACCAAACTCTACTCACCTTACAATTATCCTATGTGGTTCAATCTAGAGGACACTTTGAAAATTTCCCTCCTTTAGCCCTGGCCAGGTAGCTGACTTGGTTAGTGTATTCCTAACATCCCAAGATGGCGGTTCCATCCCCGCTCAGCGCACATACAAGAAACAACCAATGGATGCATAAATAAGTGGAACAACTCAATGTTTTTCTCCCTCTCTCAAAAAAAAATCAATAAATTTAAAAAATTAAAATTTCCCTCCTTTAAATAAAGAGACATAGACATTTTCTGATTCACAGACTCTTCTTTTTTTTTTTGGTTAATCCTCACCCGAAGATATTTTTCCATTGATTTTTAGACAGAGTGGAAGACAGAGGGAAAAAGGGAGAGAAATATCGATGTGAGAAAAACACATCGATTGGTTGCTTTCTGAACACACCCTGACCAGGGCCAGGGAACCTGCAACTAAGGTACGTGCCCTTGACCTGCTCTTGACAGGAATCGAACCCAGGACCCTTCAGTCCCTGGGACAACGCTCTGTCCACTGAGCCAAACTAGCTAGGTCTGACTCACAGACTTCTTGATCTATCTTCAGCATATGACACTCTCAAGTACCCTCTCCTTGAAATGCTTTGGAGTCCTTTGCCTTCTAGGACACTTTATTTTTTTTAATTTTTAATATGCTTTTATACATTTCAGAGAGAGGAAGGAAGAGGGAGAAGTAGAAACATGAATGATGAGAGAGAATCATTGATCGGCTGCCTTCTACACACCCTCTACTAGAGATCAAGCACACAACCTGGGCATGTGCCCTGGCCAGCATTGAACCATGACCTCCTGGTTCATGGGTGATGCTCATCCACTGAGCCATACCGGTCAGGCTCATTTTTTTTTCTTTTGACAAATATTTAGTATTCCAGGTGCTGTTCTAGGACCTGAACCAGCATTTCTTGCCTGAATTTACACCATTCACCAACCTCTTAATAGGACTCCCTGATTCTATTCATCCATCCATCCATCCATCCATCCAATACAGCTAAAGCAGTGGTCGCCAACCTTTCAGACCTCATGGGCCACCAGTGGTCCACGGACCACCGTTTGGCAACCACTGAGCTAAAGTATTCTTCCTAAAATGCAAATGTTACTCCCTCTTTGAAAACTCTTCAGGGTTTCCCATTCAATCAAATCCAAAACCTCTTAGTACATGAGGCCCTTCATCAAAAAGCAAGCAAAGAGGTAGAGAGGCTCCCACTGGATCAGCCCTTCCTACCACTCTCATAGCCCAGGGCTCTGAGAACAAAGGGCCCCCTAAGTATTCCATCCTCAAGATTAGAAAAAGCTTCAATCTCAATCCCATTCTTGCCCGGCCAGTGTGGCTCAGTGGTTGAGCATTGACCTATGAACCTGGAGGTCACGGTTTGATTCCCAGTCAGGGCATATGCCTGGGTTGCGGGCTTGATCCCCACGGTAGGGCATACAGGAGGGAGCCGATCAATGATATTCTTTCATCATTGATGTTTCTATTTCTCTGTCCCTTCCCCTTCCTCTCTGAAAACAATAAAAATATATTTTTTTAAAAATAAATTCTTGCCCTAGCTGGCTTGGCTCAGTGGATAGAGCGTCAGCCTGCGGACTGAAGGGTTGTGGGTTTGATTCCGGTCAAGGGCATATGCCTGGGTTGTGGGCTTGATTCCTGATTGGCGTGCAGGAGGCAGCCAATCGATTCTCTCTCGTCATTGATGTTTCCCTCTCTCTCTCTCTCCCTTCCTCTCTGAAATCAATAAAAATATATTTTTTAAAAATTCCATTCTTGCCCTAGCTGGTTTGGCTCAATGGAGAGAGCGTCGGTCTGCGGACTGAAGGGTCCCAGGTTCGATTCCGGCCAAGGGCACATGCTGGGTTGCGGGCTCGGTTCCCCAGTAGGGGACGTGCAGGAGGCAGCCGATCAATGATTCTCTCTCATCATTGATATTTCTATCTCTCTCTCCCTCTCCCTTCCTCTCTAAAATCAATAAAAATATATTTAAAAAAATTCCATTCTTGAGAACTCACAAAGTATATAAATGGCTGAGAAGTAGAACCATAAAGAAAACCTTTCCCCCCTTTTTTATGAAAAAGCCTATTTGGGCCAGAGAAGGCTTTCCTCTGAACATCAGTCCCAGGGACTAAGTGGGAAAATCCGCTATCTGGGCTCATCACCTTGGACACAAAATCCACTTTGCTATAATGGTCGCCTGCAAACCCTTCAGAGAGTGAACAGGCAAAATAAAGTGAAGCCTGTATACGCAGGGGGTTTCAGAAAGAGGCACTGAGCTGAAATGACAGCAAAGTGCCAAAAATACGAGGGCGACCCAAATTTTTGGTGGAAATTTAAATGTTCAACATATTAATGGAAACATTTACATTTGTTATCATGTTTTTCTTTCTTTTTAAAAAAAATATATTTTATTGATTTTTTACAGAGAGGAAGGGGGAGGGATAAAGGGTTAGAAACATCGATGAGAGAGAAACATCGATCAGCTGTCTCCTGCACACCCCCAATGGGGATGTGCCCGCAACCCAGGTACATGCCCTTGACCGGAATCGAACCCGGGACCTTTCAGTCTGCAGGCCGACGCTCTATCCACTGAGCCAAACAGGTTAGGCTGTTATAATGTTTTTCTTATGAGATGGGTGGTAGTACATATTCTGCCTTATCCCAATGAGACTATAATATCTTTTGGGACTCAAACCTCTAAAATTCTTTCCTAGAGGCCTGGGCATAGAGAGCCAACCACGTGGGGACCGGAGCCTCAGGTCCGGGCCAGTGAGCTGTTAAGGAGCCGCGGTGACGGGAGCCGCTACCTAGAGAGACAGCCACAAGTGCTTGGTCCCAGCTCAGCTTCTGCTGTCTGCCTGCCTGTGCTGCAGTCCCGACTCCACCACTGATGAGCTGTGTGACCTCAGACAAGTTACTAAATCTCTGCCCACCTCCATCTCTTCATCGGTTAAATGGAGGTATTAAGAGAAGCTGTACCTTGCCCTAACCCAGCCGTGGGCAAACTACGGCCTGCGGGCCGGATCCGGCCCATTTGAAATGAATTAAACTAAAAAAAAAAAAGACCGTACCCTTTTATGTAATGATATTTACTTTGAATTTATATTAGTTCACACAAACACTCCATCCATGCTTTTGTTCCGGCCCTCCGGTCCAGTTTAAGAACCCATTGTGGCCCTCGAGTCAAAAAGTTTGCCCACCCCTGCGCCTAACCCCATGGTCGGCAAACCGAGGCTCACGAGCCACATGCGGCTCTTTGGCCCCTTGAGTGTGGCTCTTCCACAAAATACCACGTGCGGGCGCGCAAGTACAGTGAGATTGAAACTCCGGGGCCCATGAGCAGAAGTCGGTATTTTGTGGAAAAGCCACACTCAAGGGGCCAAAGAGCCGCATGTGGCTCGCAAGCCGCGATTTGCCGAGCCACAGTTTGCCAACGACTGCTAACCGGTTTGGCTTAGTGGGTAGAGCGTCGGCCTGCAGACCGAAGGGTCCCAAGTTCCATTCTGGTCAAGGGCACGTACCTCGGTTGCAGGCTCCTCCCCGGCCCAGGCCCTGGACAGGGTGCGTGCAGGAGGCAACCAATCAATGTGTTCCTCTCACATCGACGTTTCTCTCTGTCTTTCCCTCTCTCTTCCACTCTCCCTAAAAATCAATGGAAAAATATCCTCGGGTGAGGATTAACAATAAATAAATAAATAAAAAAGAGAAGCTGTACCTTTAAAGCTGTGAGTACCACTTGTTTTCACACTAGACGAAGTATGTGAAGAGTACTCAGCTGTGTTTGTTAGGGCTGGAGGAAAATTCCTGGTAGCCAGGCAGGGGAAGAATGTGCTAGAAAGAGGGCATCTGGATGGTGCAGGGCCCAATGCAGGGAGAGATGAAGAAATAAAACTCAGTGGTAGGCAAAGGGGGAACAAGGGGAGGGGCACCATGCCAGAGGTACATAAACTATCACTTTTGTAAGACTTGATATGAAAGGGCAAGTCCATAAAGAAACTCACGAGTATCTAACTCTTGTGCATGCCCCCTTCCCAACAACAGGCTGGGCATCCCTGGGGCTTGCCCAACAAGAAAGGTAAGAAGCAGATACATCCACGAGGACTCACTCATTCGATTTATTCCAAGGTGTCTCCTCTTGAAAGAGACCATTTCGATCAGTTCTCGCTCCCTCCTCTGAGGCTAAGACCCGGTGAGAGAGCAGTGATGGAAATGCCCTAATGATTGCTCCTCCTGGGCTGTCAAGGCCACCAGTGCTGCCCGTACCTCTTCTGCCTGCGCCGGGGGCAGCAGACAGTCCCGAATGAGGGCCAGCGCGGCCGCCTCCGTCAGGCTGCTGAAGTCCTGGGGCGTTTTGACAGGGAGGTGCCCGGCCAGCTCGCAAAGGGCAACATTGAACGCCTCCCGCTCCTTGACCCCAAAGCTGGACTTCCGGGGCCAGAGGATGACCCGGACCCCTGTGAGGGTTGAGGAAAAGGAAGTCTGTCCAGGCGGTGCGCCCCGGGTCACGAACAGGTTGTGTGCAATCTCACGGGCAGTCAGATAGTCGGTGGCGCGGCACACCCTGCTTACCAAGGCTTCTATGTCCGGGCCTGGCCCGCCGGTGTAAAAAAGGAAGCCGGGAGCTGGGACCGCCTGCAGCAGGTGTAAACGGCCCCCCGGGTCCAGGGGCTCACTTGGTGCCCCCTCCACGGGCAGCCTGTGGGGCAGGTAATAGCCGTGCAGGTGCAGGTGGTTCACGGAGGCCAAGCCGCCCAGGCTGTTGAAGCCGACGCGAAAGCCAGGGTGTGAGCTCAGCAGCACGGCCTCCAGCCCGGCCCGGAGTGCCCCGGGCAGCAGGCGCTGGGGGAGTCCCCGGGCGGGCTCGGGCACCAGCAGCACGTGGCCCCACTCCAGGGGGCTCACGTTGATCATCACCAGGATATCCTCTTGCTGGAGAACCCCCGGGGGATCGGGCTCCCGGCGCAAACGGAAGAGGACTTCTCCCGGCCGGATTTTGTTGAAGTTAAACTCTTCGGGGTCAAAGGCCTGCCTGACGCTCCTGATGTTCTGGGGGCGCCTCCTCTGCACCCCTCGTTCCACATTCAGCTGAGCCACGAAGCCCATGGGACCAGGGAGCGTCCGGGTCTGCAGCTCCCCCAGGCGGTAGCGGAACAGCCCCAGCTCCATCCGCTGTCTCCAGGCAGAGCAGAGCGCGGAGTCAAAATGAGACAGAGGCCGTGTGTCCGGGAGGCTGGGCGCGGTCCTGGGCCACTGGATCCCTTCCCGCGTGAGTTCCTTCTGTCCATAGACAAAGTCAGGGATGCCTTGCTCTTCCCAGTCCTCCCTGTTTGGAGGGAGCAGATAGGAAGTTTCGCTTGAACCAGCTGAATCCGCCATGGGCCAACCTGAAACAAACGGAAGAGGGGGAAAAACACAGGATGCTACCCCCATTTCCAGAGATTTTATTTTTATTTTCAAATAACCTTTACTTGTTCTTCTGGTTACAAAAGTCATATAACCTTTGGTCAAATATTTTGAAATACAGAAATTACTCATGATCCTGTAGATGAACATATATTTTTGCTGAATTAAAAATCCAAATAACCATCTGGCGTACCTCAGGGGTTGAGCATCAACCTATGAACCGGAAGGTCAAGGTTCGATTCCCAGTCAGGGCACATGACAGAGATCCTGGGCATGAAGCCTGGAACCCAGGCATGTGCCCTTGACCGGAATCGAACCTGGGACCTTCCAGTCCACGGGCTGACGCTCTATCCATTGAGCCAAGCCAGCCTGGGCGATCACATTGAGCGCTGGGCAAACTATAGTCACTCGGTAAACATTTACTCAATCAAGGCCACGTATCAGGTCCCGGCGTGCATGCCTCTCCTAGCTCACGGGGCTTACAGTCTAGTGGGGGAAGCAGACATCACCCGAGTAAATATAAATTGCAAGCGAGATACATGCCGCGCAGGAGAAGCATCGGGAGCTCGGCAAGTGTAAGACAAACTCCTGATCTAGTCCAGGGACTCAGGAAAGGCTTCCGTGAGCATAAGCCGGAAGAGGAACTGAGTGCCCACGGTGGCCAAAACACAGAGGCCCTGAGGAGTTGGCAGAGAGAAGCTGAAATCAGATTACAGGGGCGCCCGTTTTTGTTTTTGTTTTTAATTGACATGCTCACATTTAGACTTTAAAGATCAGCAAGCGGATTAAATTAGAAGAATCCAGAATTAATCCCTACAGGTGCACCTGTCAAGGATACCTCCGCAAAACGAAAGAAATAACCTCCCTCCCACCTCCTCCTCTCAGCAGCTTGGAATCCTCACCCTTTGGCACAGCGCAGTTTCATTCATTCGTGCATTGGTACAGGGGAACCTACCTTGCAGGGCTGTTGCAAAAATCGAAGTCACTCCGCACGGCGTTTGGCATCCGGCGGGTGACAGGACACAGCCTCACAGGCAGTAAGTTGGCGGCTATGTCTGCAGAGGCGACCTGGGGGCTGCAACACGTGAGGCGGGGGCCGGGTGGTGACGTCGGGATGCAAAAGCCGTCCTCGGGCACAGGGGCAGCCGGCGGCCAATGGCTACTCAGAGAGTTTCCAGGCCCCCCTGGCCCCACACTTCCCTGCTGCCCTTTACCAGACCTCACCCGAGGCCGCCGCCGCCGCCCACCGCAGGCGAGGAGCAAGCTCCGCGCGATGGACCCCCAGCTACTGCAGCCAGAGCAGCGAGGACGCGGTGCCTCCGCGCATGCGCAGCCCGCGTGCACGCACGCGGCGTGGCCCGCCCCGTCCGCCCCGGAGGCGGGGCCTGTGGGCTGACCACGCCCCTGACCACGCCCCCAGCTCGCCAGGGACCGCCCAGAGCCGGGAGCCGGCGTCTGGACTCCGCGGGGAACCTCTGGGCGCCGTAAGGAGGAGGCGGGCCCGGGGGCGGGGGCCCCCCCGCAGGGGCGGTTGCCGCGGGGACGGGGCGGTGACGCGGCCCGAGGGCGGAAGTGAGAAAGTTGCCGGAGTCCCGAGACGAGTTGGCGGAACTGTGCGCGCGGCGCGGCGCGGCGATGGGGGGCTCGGGCAGCCGCCTGTCCAAGGAGCTGCTGGCCGAGTACCAGGTGCGCGGGATGCGGCCCGGGGAGCTCGAGCGCGGGCCTGCGCCCGGGGACGGGTCCCGGAGCGGGCGGCGGGGCGGGCGCGGCCTCCGAGCGGCCCGCTGACCTCGGTCCTGCCTGCCTTCCAGGACCTGACGTTCCTGACCAAGCAGGAGATCCTCCTGTAAGTGCCGTCCTGAACCTCGCCGCCGGGACCCTCTAGAGACGGCTTCGGGGGGGCCCTGTCTTACCGACGGGGAAACTGAGGCCGCCTCGAGGGAGCGGCTGAGCCGGAACCGGAGTCCCGCGCCCCAGCCCTGGAGCCCGGGCTGCGCCCCGCCCGCTCCGGGGGCCCAGCTGTGCTGTCTGCAGCCACAGTTGGGCGCCCTTTGCCCTTGCGCTCCCCTGACTTGTGCAGAACAGAACCTCCAGCCCCGGTCCGGCGGGGGCTGCTGTGGCAAAGCCAGAGAAGCCTTGGGGAGCGTGGTTCCTTCTCCCAGCTTTACCCACATAATACAGTAACCACTAACGCTTCTTCCGCACCTGCCCGGTGCCAAGCACGGTGCTAAATCAGCCTACGTTACCGACTTTAATCCTCCCGAGGGAGGGAGGGAGGGAGGGGACAGTGACACAGGTCCGGAGAAGTCCGGCAACTTGCCTAAGACTGTTCCATCCCCAGAAAGGATTTGAACTGGGGCGGGAACCCCCTTTCCAGCCACTTGCCAGCTTTACGTGGCCAGGGCTTCCCTTGGCTAAAGTAATCCCAGTGGCGAGGAGGTGGTGCCGGGGAGGAGATGGCTCCGTTCAGCCTTGAGGAGCGGGAGATCCCTGGAGTTTTGCTCATTTCTCCCAGTTCATCGGAGTCAACGTCTGGCTCCGGGATAAACCCAAACCTCTCCACCCCTCTGGGACCTACTGTGTGCGCAGGCCCTGGCACACAGTAGGTCCTCAGCGAATACCCATTGGGAGAACGAACTCCCAGCCTGCACTGGCTGGTGACATAGCTCCCGTTGGCTCATCAAGCCTGATAACTCAGACATTGTCTGTGCATCGCTTGGCGCCTGACCTGGTGTGTAATGGGTAGTACACACGGGAAAGTGGGCCAACAGGTTCCCCTGCTTGTGCCAGAGCCCACAGGCGGTTCTGTGAGCTGCTTCCCCTGGAGCGCCGGAGCATGGAGGAGTCGCTGCAGGCGCGAGTGTCCCTGGAGCAGATCTTCAGCCTTCCAGAGCTCAAGGTGCCATTCTGCTCTTTCCTCTGTTTACGTGGATGTTAGGGGGCGAGGGCTTTACCTAAATCACCCAGTGGAATGATCTGGAATGGCGTTTTTCAAATCGGGATTCTAGGAACACATTCTTGGCGTGTCAAAAGAAGCTCGGTCCTTTTTTTTTTTTTTAAATATATTTTATTGATTTTATTACAGAGAGGAAGGGAGAGGGATAGAGAGTCAGAAACATCGATGAGAGAGAAACATCGATCAGCTGCCTCCTGCACAGCCCCTATTGGGGATGTGCCCGCAACCGAGGTACATGCCCTTGGCTGGAATCGAACCTGGGACCCTTCAGTCCGCAGACTGACGCTCTATCCACTGAGCCAAACCAGTTAGGGCTATTTATTTATTTATTTTTTGTTAATCCTCACCCAAGGACATTTTTCCATTGAATGTTAGGGAGAGGGGGAGGGAGTGGGAGGGAGAGAGAGAAACATCGATCTGAGAGAAACACATCAATTGGTTGCCTCCTGCACAAGCCCTGACGGGCCAGGGAGAAGCCTGCAACCAAGGTTCGTGCCCTTGACTGGAATCAAACCCAGGACCCTTTGGTCCCCAGGCTGACGCTCTGTTCACTGACCCTAACGGGCTAGGGCACAACACGTGTTTAATTAAATGTTCTCTTTGCTTAGGATGCCCGCCTCTTCCTTCTCTGCCCCCAGGCCTACCTGTGGGTTAACCTCTGATTCCCTGTAGCCATCCCTGCCCCCTCCCCAGCGATGTCACTGGTCCTCCTGCTTTCGGGAAAGCACTGGTCATTCTCCGCCCAAGCCTGCGCTGATGGTGCGGGTTCTGGGAACTGTCCCCTCCGGTCCATGGAGGCTCTCTTCCTAGGCCAGTGATGGCGAACCTATGACACGCGTGTCAGAGGTGACACGCGAACTCATTTTTTTGGGTTGATTTTTCTTTGTTAAATGGCATTTAAATATATAAAATAAATATCAAAAATATAAGTCTTCGTTTTACTATAGTTGCAAAGATCAAAACATTTCTCTATGTGACACGGCACCAGAGTTAAGTTAGGGTTTTTCAAAGTGCTGACACGCCGAGCTCAAAAGGTTCGCCATCACTGCCCTAGGCCAACCCCTTCAGGGAGCGCATCTGCAGGGTCTTCTCGACCTCCCCCGCCCGAGACAGCTTGAGCTTTGAGGATTTCCTGGACCTCCTCAGCGTGTTCAGTGACACGGCAACGCCGGACATCAAGTCCCACTACGCCTTCCGCATCTTCGGTGAGGACCCGGGGGAGCCTAGGGGAGCACAGGGCCTCCCCCGGGGGTCCTTTGGGCGGGGCTGCCCGGGCGCGGGGGTCAGCCCTGGGCTTCCCGTGTCTACTCTGTAGATTTCGATGATGATGGAACCTTGAACAGAGAAGACCTAAGCCAGCTCGTGAACTGCCTCACGGGAGAGGGCGAGGACACACGGCTCAGTGCTTCAGAGATGAAACAGCTCATTGACAATGTGAGCAGCTGGGCCCAGCAGGGCAGCCCTAGCCGAGCCGAGCCGGGCCGGGCCGGGCCGGGGAGCCGAGGGAGGGCTTGGGCCTGACACTCGCCCTTTGCCCAGATCCTGGAAGAGTCCGACATCGACAGGGATGGGACCATCAATCTCTCCGAGTTCCAGCACGTTATTTCCCGTTCACCGGACTTTGCCAAGTATGACAGTGGTCCCGCCTGTGGCATCTGGGTCTAGGATGTTATTATGGGGGGGGGGGTACCAGGGAACACCCCCCATCCCCGCCTCCTCTGAATATCTCAGGGTAGCTCTTCTCCCAAAGGGGACTGACAGACGCGAGACACAGCCCGTTCCAAAGGGTCTTGGGGGAGAGGTGGGTACATTGGGGTTTAGTCCTCACCCTCCTCTTCCAGCAGCGAATCAAACCCACTGTTCTCTTGTTCAGCTCCTTCAAGATCGTCCTGTGACGGGAGCCTCACAGCCGGTTTCCCAGCCGCCGTACAATAACCTTGACACTGCTGAGCCGTGGCCAAGGTCACGCCTGCGTTGCCAGGGCCGGCCGAGCTGGCCCGGTCGAGCTGGCACTGTGCCGTCTTGTCCCAGGCAGGGAAGGGCACCCCCAGTCAGTGCCTCACCCCTTCTCACTGCCGTTGTCACCGCTCTGTGTTTCTGCTAATCAGTAATAAAGGTTAAGAAGTTTTGATTCTGGGTGTGACACTGGAAATGCTGGTGATGAGGAAGGACTGGACTCCGGTTGTCCAGGGACTGACGAACCTCCAGAGAAGGGACCAGCAGGGAGGCAGAGTGGGGCACTGAATATGAGGGGGTCCGTGAGGGAGGGAACCCCTTGAATCCTGATTGTGGTGGTGATGACATGAATTTCTACATTCACATTATAGAGCTGTTTACCAAAAGGAAAAAGAACTTACTGTAGCCCGGCCGGCGTGGCTCAGTGGTTAAGCATCGACCTATGAACCAGGAGGTCACGGTTCGATTCCCGGTCAAGGGCACATGCCTGGGTTGTGGACTTGATCCCCAGTATGGGGTGTGCAGGAGGCAGCCAATCCATTATTCTCTCTCATCACTGATGTTTCTCTCTCTCCCTTCCTCTCTGAAATCAATTAAAATACACACACACACACACACACACACACATATATTTTAAAAAGTATTTACTGTATGAGCATTTTAAAATAAAAAGAAGAATTGTAAGAGTTAAACAAAAACCCTGTTCCCTGTGCCCTGACCCCTGACCAGAATAAAAGGTTGAGATGGCAGCGGGCAGGCGGGCTGGCTTTGGCCCCCTGACCCCTGGGAACAGGAAGTTCAGAACCCCCAGAACTCAGAAGATTAGACCAACCTCAAAAAGCAACAGTCCTTTCATTTTTTTTCATTTTTCATTTTTACTCTAGTAAATTGTTTTCCCCTTCTAGTTAATTTAGTCAGTTTATATCTGTTTTATTTCATTTTGTTAATCCTCATCCATTGATTTTTAGGGAGAGTAGGAAAGAGAGAGGGAAAGACAGAGAAACATCGATGTGAGAGAAAGACATCAATTGGTTGCCTCTTGTATGAGCCCCAACCAGGGCCTGGGCCAGGGAAGAGCCTGCAACCAAGGTCCGTGCCCTTGACCCGAATCGAACCCGGGACCCTTTGGTCTGCAGGCCGACGCTCTATCCACTGAGCCAAACCCACTGAGCCATGGCTAGGTCAACGGTCCTTTAAGAGGAAGGGCTACGATTCAATTTCAGTTCTTGAGATTTTATTTACAATACAAAAAAACAGAACAAATGTAAAGTGCATCTGACTTAAAAAAAAATATAAAATCCACATAAATTCAGGCCCTTGTGCTGGGCAGCGTCAACTCCCTTAGATCAGAGGCAGGTGAAGTGTGGGAGTGAAGGGGGACTGGGCGCCGAGACGCGCCGGGTGGATACGGGACGGGGGACACGGGTTTCAGTCTGGACAGAGGAAGGCAGCCAACAGCAGTCTCTTCCTAGAATTCTGAGGGAAAGGTGAACATCGTCCTAACTCCTGAGCTCACGCTGCCTGCTGTCAACGTGGCCACGGCCTGATACAGGCCGGAAAGGTCCAGAGGTGGCTCGAGCCCAGGCCTCGTGAGGGCCGCAGTGCCAGCGTGGCCCTCGGTCCCTGAGGTGACAGGATGGTGGCCGTAACAACTTGGCCAGTGGCCAGGCAGGACCCACGGAGCCGGCCCCGGGCCCAGCAGTGACGGGCCGCCTGTGGCAGTAGCATAAGGCAGAGGTTCCCAACTGTCTCCACCCACCACGGTGGACGTTCCCAAAACCCCAACCAGGGCGAGACCCCAAGGCTGGGGGCTGCGAGCTGGAGCGGCCGGGCACATGGCATCGTTCTTATTTCACATTTTCAGTGGTTTTTTTTTACACGAAAGGCTCAGCTTACATGAGGAGCACTGCTCCGCGCACCTAGGCGGGCGCCCGCCCATCTTCCGCGGGGCCATGGCATCTGGGTTGGAGGGGCCTCACTCCTCCAACGGGGCCGGTTGAAGGGCCCCGCTACTCCGGAGGGCTGGGCACGGCGCCATGTCCGGCCAGACTCTACAAGAGCAGAGTCCAGCCGATGCCTCTGAGCATCCACGGCGCTCTGAAGCCAGGGTGGCCTCCTCTGGAAGTCAGCTGTCACACCACCGAGTCCCGGATCTCAGAGCCCAGGCGGACCCGGGGCCGGGGGCACACCGGGGACACCTCCACGAAGCTGTCGTGGATGCTGAGCGGCCTCTTCTCGGACTCCGTGAAGACCTGCGGCCCCGGGGAGTTGTCCGACAGGGCCTGGTAGCCTCGGTGGTCCGGCGGGATGCTCGGGGGACCGACGCCGTTGAGCGGCCGGGTCTCGGGCGGCAGCACCACCGGGCGGGTCTTGGGGTGCACGCTGGCGCACTCCCCCTGCTTCAGGAAGACCTTCATGCCGTCGCGGTGCCGGTAGAGGAAGAACAGGATCAGGAGCAGTATGACCAGCACGAACAGCACGCTCATCACCAGGAACTCGGTCCAGTAGGACCGGTCCGCGCCCCAGCTGGCCTTGCCGTGGGCGGGCGCGCTCACCCGCGACGTGTTGATGACGACGGACCCTTTCACCCGCCGGTCCGCCGCCGTGTCCAACACCGCCGGGCAGTAGCTAGCCACCAGCTGCCGGAAGCCCCCCTCCAGCGACCAGCACTGGAACACCCCCAGCTCCTGCTGGCTGCCCACCAGCAGCAGGTCCCCCGTGGGCAGCACCCGGCAGGAGGCCGAGCCATTGATAGGCTTCTCGTTGTGCAGCCAGAGCCGCGTCGCCAGGTTGGAGAGCAGGGGGCAGGCCAAGGTGTTCACCGTATTGGGCTGGAACGGGACTGGCTCACACGGCTTCTCACCTGGGGGCAGGAGAGGCACAGACATGGGGCCAAGGGGGCCTGGCGTGCACTACAGCCCCAGCTCACCCACCGCCCGCTGGGCAGCGCCCATCAGGCCACCGGGGCAACTCTGAGGACTCCGGGGATTGTGACTTCCATTTCCCAGAGCCTCGCCTGCAGGCTGGAGGGACGAGGACGGGAGGAAAGGCATTTACTCCCGCCAGTGCCTGAATGGAGGAGCCTTCTAAGCCACCTGGCCGCTGCCTCCCTCCATCCTCTGATGGGCACCTTACCTGCTGGTGCAGCAATCCGGGACTTGATGGAGGAAGCGTTGCAGAGGTCCCTGGCGTTGGTTCCCTCGATGTCCTGGATCCACGGCCTGAGGAACAAAGAGAGCCTGGGATAGGCCAGGGTGCCCCGTGGGTCTGCACCCCTATCCCCCAGGTGCAGGCCTGGAGGCAAGGGCCCGGGGCTCAGGGACCAGCAGGCCCAGAGCAGGGGTAAAAAGCAGGCCAGCATCTCCTGTTTCCCAGTGGTTATTTCAGGTAAAAGTTACTGTAATACTCCCCTGCATTACAAAAGCGGCACAAGCCTTAAGACACAGGAAGGACACCTGGCTCTGTGCGTATATAGCTGTGTGTGTCTGTCTTTTTTTAATTATTTATTTATTTTTTAATTTTTTATTTTAAAAAAAAATATATTTCTTTATTGGTTTCAGAGAGGAAGGGAGAAGGAGAGAGAGAGATAGAAACATCAATGATGAGAGAGAATCATTGATTGGTTGCCTCCTGCATGCACCCCACTGGAGATTGAGCCTGCAACCCAGGCATGTGCCCTTGGCCGGAATCGAACCTGGGACCCTTCAGTCCGCAGGCTGACGCTCTATCCACTGAGCCAAGCTGGCTAGGGCGTCTGTCTTTTTTTTAATCCTCACCCAAGGATATGTTTATTGATTTGAGAGTGCAAGGAGGGGAGAGGGAGAGAGAAGAATAGAAACATCGATTGGTTGCCTCCCGGATGCACCCTGACCAGGGATGGAACCCACCACCTTTTGGTGTACAGCAAGCATGTCAAACTCAAGGCCCACAACGAATATTTTTGCAGCCCAGCCAATATAATGGTATGTAAGAAACGTTTTAATAAAAATTTCATGCCCTAACCAGTTTGGCTCAGTGGATAGAGCATCGGCCTGCAGACTGAAGGGTCCTAGGTTCGATTCCAGTCAAGGGCATGTACCTTGGTTGCAGGCACATCCCCAGTAGGGGGTGTGCAGGAGGCAGCTGATCGATGTTTCTCTCTCATCGATGTTTCTAACTCTCTGTCCCTCTCCCTTCCTCTCTGTGAGAAATCAATAAAATATCTTTAAAAAAAAATTTCATGACTTAATTTTTACAACATCCTGTTATACATAATCATTAATAACGAACGACAACGTTCGCTAATGACTGATTACTATCGTCGTGTTGCATTCATTTCCCTTATGCGCCTTACGCGCAGGCGCACCATTTCTCTCCACTAACACCAGCAGCGAATATTTTAGCAGCCGATGGCCACGTCATTAGTCTTGGACTGACTTGTTTGGTGTGCGCCACAGGAAATATCTCACTTTCGGAGACCAAGAAAAATAGGTTTATCTGCATGACACTTACTCATTTGTGCCGTTACTCAGTGTCTAGTAAGTGAATGTTCAAGGAAAAAAATATTAATTTTTATTAAAATGTTCTATTATTTTATGTTAGCGACGACTCACTTATTTCAGCCCTTTGTATTCAGCATGTCTCTATCGAAATAAACCTACATTTCTATGAAAATGGAAGCTTTTGATTTTTTGCGGCCACATACACTTAAACCTTGTTTATTGGGCCCGTGTGAGCCTTTGAGTTTGACATGCGTGGTGTCCAGGATGACCCTCCAACCAACGGAGCCACCCAGACGGGGCAGATAGCTGTCTCTCTCTCAAATCCATGCCCACGTACCGACGTGTTGCATAAAATGTAACCAAGAACCTCAGAATGATTCAAACAAGGACCAAGGCTGAAGATACTGTAAAAACCAGCATCCAGGGACCATGACAAAGAGTGTGTTTGGTGTGTCCCTCCCAGTGTCCGTGTGTGTAGTCACATGAGGTTTTGTGAAATAGGAAGCTGGCGCTGGGGTCCCCCTGTGTGAAGCGGGGACACGGCAAGTGGGGGGCAGGTCTTGTTTCCACTTAAAATGCATGCTCTTTTGTTTTACACGTACACAGAAAAGTCTGGGAGGGTAGACATCAAATTCTCACCGTGATTCTCTCTAGGTGATGGGTTTAGGGGTAGTTATGTTTTGATTGGGCTTATCTCTATTTTCTAAACAAACATTTTATTTTATTTATTTATTTTGAATATATTTTTTCATTTTAGAGAGGAGGGGAGAGGGAGATAGAAACATCAATGATGAGAGAGAATCATTGATTGGCTGCCTTCTGCATGCCCCCTACTGGGGTGGAGCCCACAACCTGGGCATGTGCCTTGACCGGGAATCGAACCCGGGACCCTTCAGTCCACAGGCTGATGCTCTATCCACTGAACCAAACCGGCTAGGGCATATACAAACATTTTATAATCCAAACAAGTCATTTTGAAAACAACTTTTTAAAAAATTGTATTATTTTGACTAGGCCACTTCAAATTCTTTCTTTCTTTTTTTTTTAAACAAGGACACTACAAATGGGGCAGGTCCTGATTTCACTTAAAATCTGTCAACCTGCCGAACCAGTTTGGCTCAGTGGATAGAGCGTTGGCCTGAGGACTGGGGGGTCCTGGGTTTGATTCTGGTCAAGGGCATGTACCTTGGTTTCAGGCACATCCCCGGTGGGGGGCATGCAGGAGGCAGCTGATCGATCTCTCTCATTGATGTTTCTAACTCTCTATCCCTCTCCCTTCTTCTCTGTAAAAAATAAAAAAATACATATATTTAAAAAAAAATATGTCAACCTATGAACCAGGAGGTCACAATCTGATTCCCAGACAAGGGCACATGCCCAGATTGTGGGCTCGATCCCCAGTACGGGGCGTGGAGGAGGCAGCCAATCAATGATTCTCTCTCATCATTGATGTTTCTATCTCTCTCTCCCTCTCCCTTCCTCTCTGAAATCAATAAAAATCCATAATAAAAAAAGTGCAATATGCTAATTAGACTGGATATCTTTCCGGATGAAGCTGGGGCTGAGGGAAGCCCAGGTCCCGGTGCCAGCAGATGGGAGAAGGAAGGCCTACTCTTGCTCGAATTTTGTGCATCGGGCCTCTAGTATTTAACAAATAATAATTACACCAAGACAGTGGGCGCAAACGAAGCTGTGCGGGGAAGGCGCTCCGAGGCCTTGCACAGGGATGGGCAGGGGGAAGGCCTTCAGGACTCTCACCTGGAGGTCGCCTCCGGGCGGTAGAGGCTGATGCGACGGCACCTATTGCTGCTCCAAGCGCAGTAGGGGTCCCGGGCCAGGAGGCAGTCCCCGCAGCTCCGGTACATATCGCAGTTGGCCACGGGCACCTGGACTACACCCGAGTATGAGGCTGCGTACACCAGACCCTGCACAGACAGACACAGGGATCAGAGGCAGGCACGGCGGCCCGGGCCACCACCCACAGCCACCCCTGGCTCGCATGCCCAACCTGAGGCACCTCCCCAGGGCCTCCTCCCATGCTCCCAGGCACCCACTTTCTTCTTCTTCTTTTTTTTTAATTAATTTATTTTTAAATCCTCTCCACCCAAGAACATTTTCCCATTGATTTTTAGAGAGAGTGGGAGGGGGAGAGACAGAGAGAAATGTTGTGAAAGAGACACATCAATTGGTTGCCTCCTGCACGCACCCGGACCAGGGCCCGGGCCAGGGAGGAGCCTGCAGCCAAAGTACAAGCCCTTGACCGGAATCGAACCCGGGACTTCAGTCCGTAGGCCGATGCTCTATCCACTGAGCCAAACAGGCTAGGGCCCGGGGCACTACTTTCTAACAGCTTATCAGCAGAGGGGCACCCCACGCGCGCTGACCGGCCTCTGCCGCCTGCTTACCCGGTTGGGGTCCAGAAGCAGGTTCTGCACCGGCTGCCCGGGCGAGAAGATCTGGAGTTCCTCAATGACGTGCACGCCGGAGCCCACGTCCACCGCCTTGTGCAGCCGGCCGTCCTCTGCAGCAAGGACAGTGCTCAGGCCCTGGGCGGAACCTGTGCCCACGCGCCCCGCCCCTCGGCCACGCCCCGCCCTCGACCACGCCCCCAGCATAGACCACGCCCCAGGCCTCGGCCCCGTCACACCCTCGGCCACGCCCCCAGCATAGACCACGCCCCAGGCCTCGGCCCCCGTCACACCCTCGGCCACGCCCCCAGCACAGACCACGCCCCCGGGCCTCGGCCCCCGCGCCGCCCTCGGCCACGCCCCCGGCCTCGGCCACGCCCCCGGCCTCCGCGCCTGCCTGGCTGCAGACACTCACTGGTGCCCAGGAAGAGGACGTCATAGGTGCGGTGCAGGCCCGCCACGCGGTGCACGGCCACGCGCTGGTAGTGGGCCTGCGTCTGCAGCAGCAGCAGGCGGCTGCGGACCTGCCCGTCCATCAGGAAGTGGTCCTTGAGGAAGTTCAGCACGCGGTCGGGGAGCTGCAGGGACGAGTTGATCCTTCTCTCCCGGGTGCTGTTGGTGATGCACTGAAGGAGAAGGTGGCGGCATGAGGACAGCGACACAAGGGACAGGAGGGGTTCCCTGCAGATCCCGCCGGGGTGGCCTCTCCCGAGGGCGGCAGGGCGTACGCCCACCCTCGGAAGCACGTCACTAGCAGGTCTGTGGAGCCACAGGGCAAAGCCCAGGCTGTGGGCACCCAAGGGCCCCGCTGGCCAGTGTCCCTGCTGTGATGCTCCCAGCCCCTCCCCCAGGCCTCGAGCAGCACAACCACACCGCCTGCTCTGTGAGCATCCTAGTGGGCGGGCATGAGGTGCCCACAGTTAGTGCCTGATTCTCCCTGTAAGAGCCCTGAGACTTGGTACCCAGGAGTGACCCTCCTCCGATGAGGCTCGAGGGCTGGGGATAAGCACCCAGTAGGGCAATGCTGAGATGTGCTCTGCACACCCATGTCCTGGCTCAGGTCTGCTCTGGGGAAGCCCCTCAGGCTGGAAGGAAAGGAGAAGGAACTCTAGCCCGGCCAGCATGGCTCAGTAATTGAGCATCGACCTAAGAACCAGGAGGTCACAGTTCGATTCCCATTCAGGGCACAGCCCAGGTTGCGGGCTCGATCCCCAGTGTGGGGCGTGCAGGAGGCAGCCGATCCATGATTCTCTTTCATCATTGATGTTTCTCTCTCTCTCTCTTTCTTCCTTTGAAATCAATAAAAAATATATATTTTTAAAAGAAAACTCTTTCTTGGGGCCTGGCCATTTATTACGCAAATAAATAAGGCGCTCCCAGCCCAGGGGGAGGCACCGTGAGCACACAATTACAAAGGTACTGTGAGTGCCCTGATGGGGGCACACCTCCCCCCTCTCGCCCCCCACAGCTTGGAAGGCATGCAACAGTCACGGTCCCATCTAACCCGGTGGGACAAGCAGGCCTGGACTTCTGTCCCCACTTTGAAGATGAGAAAACAGCCGTGACAGACTTGGAGAAGCCAAGGGACCCCAGCCTGGGAGAGACCCCATCTCCCGGGGGCCCGCCCAGTGCAGGGAGCAGAGCTCACCGAGCCGGGCCGGGGCGTGGGCACCTCGTAGGCCACGGTGTACCACTGCAGCGTCTCCCGGTTCACCGCCTTGTAGAAGCCGTCGAAGGCCCTCTGCACGTCCTTCATGCTGAAGACACAGACGGCGGAGCCCTCGGTGGTCCCTCTGTGCCTACACGAGAAGTGGCGCTTAACCCGAGAGCCGGGGCTCAGGATGAGGCGGGCTCCCGGGCCCAGCCCCAGCCGCCCCTCACCCTCCCAACCCCAGCCAGGTCCAGGGCCCCTACCACTGGGACGTGAAGACCCCGTAGAAGAGGGTGTCACGCCAGTCCTCGGGGCTGGGGCTCAGCGTGAACACGTCCTGCAGCACGTTGAACGGGAAGCCGTCGCCGGGCCGCAAGCACAGCAGCTGGGCCTTCAGGAAGGACGTCCAGCGCTGCTGCAGGATCCGCCCGCCGCCCTCGTCACCCTGCGGGAGAGAGAGAGAGGCCGCTCAGGCACTGAGGTGGGGGGCTGGGGGCTCCTCGCTGCCCCCTCCCCTACAGTAGCTGAGACGGACAGCAGGGAAGATGGGCAAGCCACAGCCAGGCCTGAGCTCCATTGAAAATCACGAACACCCACCCCGGCCTGCATGGCTCAGTGGTTGAGCATCAACCTATGAACCAGGAGGTCACGGTTCGATTCCTGGTCCAGGGCACATGCCCAGGGTTTCAGGCTTGATCCCCAGTGGGGGGCGTGCAGGAGGCAGCTGATCCATGATTCTCTCTCATCATTAATGTTTCTATCTCTCTTCCCCTTTCCCTTCCTCTTGGAAATCAACAAAAATATGTTAAAAAAAAAAAAAAAGAAAAAATTGCCCAACCGGTGTGGCTCAGTAGTTGAGCATTGACCTGTGGACTCAAGGGTCCCGGGTTCGATTCCTGGTCAAGGGCACAGGCCCGGGTTGCGGGATCGATCCCCAGTAGGGGGTGTGCAGGAGGCAGCCGATCCATGATTCTCTCTCATGAATGTTTCTCTCTCTCTCCCTCTCCCTTCCTCTCTCTCTAAACAAATCAATAAAAAATAAAATAAAAAAAGAAAAGATCAAGAACACGTGGAGGCAAGGTGCAGGTGCATCAGCGGGCTAAGTGGACGCCAGTGCTTTGCTTTCTGTGAAATCCCACAAAAAGGCCCAAGGGGAGTCTCCCTACAAACATGGACACAGGTCACGGCTTCCAGCTGAAGAACTGCATTTACAGTGTAATTTGTGTTTTCGAATAGTCATTTTTGTTGCTGTTGTTTTAATATATTTTTATGGATTTCAGAAAGGAAGGGAGAGGGAGAGAGAGATGGAAACATCAATGATGAGAGAGAATCACTGATCGGCTGCCTCCTGCACGCCCCCCACTGGGGATCGAGCCCGCAACCAGGACATGTGCCCTTGACTAGAATTGAACCGTGACCTCCTGGTTCCTAGGTCAATACTCAACCACTGAGCCACACAGGCTGGGCTGTAAATAGTTTTTTGCAATATAAATATATGTATTTACACATATGCAAAAAAAAAAAAGATTAGCAAGGAACCTTCTAGAATGTTAAAAATGATCACTTCTTATGGCTGGGCGATAGGAATCTATACTAATAAAAGGGTAATATGCTAATTAGACCACACGTCCTTCTGGACAAAGCCATGGTGGCGGGGCCAAGGCAGAGGCAGTTAGGGGTGATCAGGCCAGCAGGGGAGAGCAGTTAGGGGGATCAGGCCGGCAGGGGAGAGCAGTTAGGGCAATCAGGCTGGCAGGGGAGAGCAGTTAGGGTGATCAGGCCAGAGGGGAGAGCAATTAGAGCACACGTCCTTCTGGACAAAGCCATGGTGGCAGGGCCAAGGTAGAGGCAGTTAGGGGTGATCAGGCCGGCAGGGGAGAGCAGTTAGGGTGATCAGGCAGACAGGCACGCAGCGGTTAGGAGCCAGTGGTCTCGGATTGCGAGAGGGATGTCCGACTGCCAGTTTAGGCCTGATCCTGCAGCGGGCAGTCGGACATCCCCCGAGGGGTCCTGGATTGGAGACTGTGCAGGCAGGGCTGAGCGACCCCCCCCCCCTCAATGAATTTCGTGCACCGGGCCTCTAGTATAACATAATATTCAACCACATGCCTAAAAGCTTTATGTGGATTAATTTAGTCCACATGACAACCTGAGTCAGGTGTGGTTCTTGCTCCCATTGCACAGACCAGGGAGCTGTCACTGAGCAGGTGGGGGGTGTGCCCAGGTTCACACGACCAGCAGGGGCTGGCTGAGCAGCAGGCAGCCCGGCGCCAGAGGCTCGCCTCTGTATCTCGATGCTATGCTGCCTCTCTATCGTGTGATGTCTGTGTGTGGGTTCCTGTTCTGTAGTTCCCATAAGAGAAAACAATACGAGGTATTTTGATTTAAAGGCCGTGAGCTAAGCTGTTCTTCCCGGAGGACAAGAGAAGGTCACAGAAGCAGGACCTCCTGGCATTTCCTGACCCCGGACCGGGGGAGCCTTTGGAGGCTCTGGGGGCCCCCCCCTCACCTTGCAGATGCGGGCGATGCGGGACACGATGGTGTTCTCGAAAAACTCAAACTCCTGGCCCGTCTCGCTGAAGAAGAAGTAGATCTTGTCATCGTCCCCTTGCAAGCTGCCCAGGCTCTCAGGAATGTAGGCCGAGGCCACAAACGCTGGGTCTGTGGGAGCCGGCAAGGAGCACAGAGTCAGCCCAGGAATCCCAAACAGGCATCCCAAACAGGCGAGACTCTGTTCTCAGGCCCTGGGGGGGCGGGGGGGGCACCCTTCCCAGGGCCCCTGGGCCTGCCCACGGGTGGGCGGTGGGAGGGCTTCACCTTGGAGCCAGTTGAGGGAGCCCTCGGTCTTGATGGGGCGGCGGCTCTGGCTCCGGGAGATGGCCGGGTCATTCCCCTGGAAGTTGCCGACGGTCCCAGTATAGAGCTCGCCATCTGCCAAGAAAACATTCCCATGGGAACGGCCTCTCGGCGGGGCCTCCTCCCCCCACACAGGCCTGCAATGACCCCAGCCCTGCCCACTTCACTCGGGGTGCACAGAGGAGGGAGCAGGAACCGGGAGTAGGAACTGGGGTGTGCAGAGGAGGGAGCAGGAACCCAAGGGCAGCCCAAGGTCACACCTGCACACCACCGCCACCCCCCGCCCCCGATGGAGCCTCAACCAGGCCATCCTGCCCCCAATACTCACCAACCATTAGGGCCGTGGACTTGAAATTGGGGTCAAAGGGGCAACGGCCCTTGCCATCTTCCAGGAGGACATTCCCCGCCTTGTCCTGTGCCAGCGTGAAGTTCTCCACACTCTATGGGGGAGCAGACAGGGGGGCTCAGGGGCACACCAGGGCAGGGTGGGCTCCGCAGGAAAGGCGGGGGATGCTGGGAAGGGCAACTCGGAGGGGGAGGGGGTGGGGGCAGAGGTCGGACAGTCCTCCCCATCCTAGTACTCAGGGCACAGTGACAACTGCGGTGGGCGCACACTCACGATGTAGGCGCAGAGCGGGCTGAAGGCCCCGGTGCCGCAGGTGAACAGGTGGCTGCTGTTGAGTGGCAGGAGGATCTTGATGTAGTTCTGACAGTCCCGCTGGGGAAACAGGGGCAGGATGTCAGGCTCAAGCCAGCCACCAGGGGGCACCACCGAGACCCAAGGCCAGGGCTGGGGGTGAGGCCTCCAATCTGGACCGGACTGAGCCCACCAAGGACCACAGATGTGTGTAGGTGGGGCCTCGGGGCTCAGCCAGCTCTGCGGTCGGCAGCCTTCAGTTCCGTCTGGGGTGAGGCACGGAAATGCGTCCTCTTGGGCGGCCTTGGCCCCTGAAGGTCCTCAGTGCAAACGGATGGTCCCTCCCAACCCACACGGGGAGGGGGCCCCAGCCCAGGGCAGGAGACACTCGGCCTGAAGCCCGGCCCCAGACTCACGGGCAGCCTCTGAGAGCATCTAATAGCGTCTCCACCCACTGATAGCTCCCCAAACCTTTCTCCTCCGAGGTCTTTCCTTTTCATGAATGGCAACTCCACCCTCGCGGCTGCTGAGGCCCCAAACCTCCCGGCCAGCCTCCAATTCCCACCTCGCACACCCGGTATTTTCCCATCGGGAGACCCTGGTGGCACAATACATCGGGAATCTGACCAGGTCTCCCTCCCTGGTCCAGGCCACCAGCACCTCCCCATCCTCGCTGGTCTCCCTCCCTCGTCCTCGCCGCGTGGAGGCCACTGTCCGCCACTCGTGACGAACGCCAGGCCAGGCCACTCCTCTGCTTGGCCCTCCAGGGGTTCTCCAAACACCCCACTCGGAGTGAAACCCACAGGCCTGCTCCTCCTGCAGGTGCCCCATGTCAACTCCCTCACCGGCTTCTCCTCTTGGCTCAGATGGCACTTTTTTTTGAAGGAAGTGTGTAACCGGACTACCTTTTACATTGACTGATTCTTGCCTGTTGTTCTTTCTTCTCTTTCACAATTGAATCTCCAGTGTCTAAAAGGACCTGGGCACAAAGCCAGTGCTGCCCAGCCAGTGTGGCTCAGTGGCTGGACCTATGATCGATCCCTGGTCAAGGGCACATGCCCGGGTTGTGGGCTGGATCCCCAGTGGGGGGCATGCAGGAGGCAGCCGATCAATGATTATCTCTCATCATTGATATTTCTCTCTCTCTCTCCCTCTCCCAAATCAATAATAAAAACTATATACAGCCGAAACCGGTCTGGCTCAGTGGATAGAGCGTCAGCCTGCGGACTGAGGGGTCCCAGGTTTGGTTCCGGTCAAGGGCATGTACCTGGGTTGCGGGCACATCCCCAGTGGGAGATGTGCAGGAGGCAGCTGATCGATGTTTCTCTCTCATCGATCTTTCTGACTCTCTATCTCTCTCCCTTCCTCTCTGTAAAAAATGAATAAAATATATAAAAAAAAAACTATATACTTACACATGTATAATTTTTTTTAGGAGATACAATGAGCTGAATGGAAGAAGTCAGGGTGTCAGCACTTGAACCTGTGTCTCGATCCCAAGTCCGGCGCTCTTCTACCGTCTCCTTAGCTGCCCCCGCTGCACTCAGGGCCAGCGGTCTCTGGGAACAGTGGGGCGTCCTCCAGAAGAACCCCCGGGACTGGATGAAGAGAGACCCGCACCCATTGGTCTGGCCAAAGCAAAACCAGGACCTGTCAGACCTGCCGCATCAGGCACCATGTGCAGAGGGACACGACTGCTGTCCCCACCCAGTCGCTGCTCCTGCCGTAAGCTCACGTTTATCTGACACTGATTTTGTCCCAGGTGCCTTATGCCTATGACCTCACTGAATCCTCAGTCACAGTGGGAATCGTGAGGCAGGCATCACTATCCCCATTTTATTTATTTATTTATTTTTAATATATTTTATTGATTTTTTACAGAAAGGAGGGGAGAGGGATAGAGAGTTAGAAACATTGATGAGAGAGAAACATCTATCAGCTGCCTCTTGCACGCCCCCTACTGGGTATGTGCCCGCAACCAAGGTACATGCCCTTGACAGGAACCAAACCTGGGACCCTTGAGTCCTCAGGCCGACGCTCTATCCACTGAGCCGAACCGGTTAGGGCTATTTTATTTTTTAATATATTTTTATTGATTTCAAAAAGGAAGGGAGAGGGAGATACCCTGCACATCCCCCACTGGGGGATCGAGCCCGCAACCCGGGCATGTGCCCTGACAGGGAATCGAACCATGACCTCCTGGTTCATGGGTCAATGCTCAACCACTGAGCCACGCCGGCTGGGCTACTATCCCCATTTTACAGATGGAAACACTAAGGCCCAGAACGGCAAATCTACTGATCCAAGATCCAGAGCCAGGTCTGGCCATCTCAGAAGCCTGTGCCCGCCCACCACAGCCGGCTGCCCCTGCTCCCACTCCCGCTTCCGTCCCGGGTCCAGGACCACCGCCCTCCATCCCACCTGCAGCCCAGGCCGCCTTCAGGTCCTGGCTCACCTGTGGGTCCTTGCCCTTGAAGCTGCACTGGTATTTCCTCTCGGCATCTGCGCTCCACAGCAGCTGGGGAACGAGGCAGCAGGTGAGTGTGCATGTAGGAATGGAGGGTCCGCCCCCCCGACCTCCAACTCCTTTCCCCTCTCTGTTTGCACCATCCCCGGACCCAGGAGGTCAGTCTTCCTGTCCGCCTTCCCCACTGCCACCCTCTGCCCCGGGCATCGCCTCTCACCTCCTGGTACTCCCCGCCCGGCAGGAAGCTGGCGCTGCTGTTGAGCGCGAAGAGGGCCTCCCGGGCCCCCACGTACAGGGTCTCGCCGTCCCTGCTCAGCAGAAGGGCCGTGTAGTTGGAGACGTTTTCAGCTTGGAATCTGAAGGATGGTCGCTCTTCAGAGTCTGGGGAGAGGAAGATGGACATTAGCTGGGGGCCACCCCTCCCACAAAACACCAACTTCTAGAACCAACCAACACAGGTCAGCAAGGCAGTGGGTGGCAAGGGGCCGAGGACAAGGGGATCAGGCTTACAGAGAGTAGCATTTCTGCCTCGCAAACACTGTGCAAGAAACAAAGGCATGAAGATGAACGGAAAAGAATGTTAATTGTATAAAAAAAATCAAAACAACCTCCATGTCCCAGCACGGGGGCTGGGTGTGAAAATCAACCCTCATACTTCATGGGACAGAACACAAGCAAATGGCAAAAACGATGCTTTTTCAGAAGCCCCAGAAAAACAAGCAAAGTTTCATAAGAAAGGCCTGGTCAAAATATGACGGGAACGTCCCTAGCCAGCTTGGCTCAGTGGATAGAGCGTCGGCCTGCGGACCGAAGGGTCCCAGGTTCGATTCTGGTCAAGGGCACGTACCTTGGTTGCAGGCTCCTCCCCGGCCCGGGCCCTGGTCGGGGTGCGTGCAGGAGGCAACCCAACGATGGGTTTCTCTCACATCGATGTTTCTCTCTGTCTTTCCCTCTCTCTCCCACTCTCCCTAAAATCAATGGAAAAATATCCTCGGGTGAGGATTAAAAAAATAAAATGACGGGAACTAAAATACAAAGTGGTGGTTTTTGAGCCCGTGTCAGCATACAAGGAAGGAGGGGAATTGCACACTCTCCTTTGCGCAGCATCAGACCCAGAGAGAAGGCCTGGCAGGCACCGCGCACCCCTCGGCCCCTCAGTGGCCATGAGGATGCCCTGGTGTGAAACAGGACATTCATGTTCTCAACCTTGACCTCAGGAGCCTGAGCGTACGACAGACAGACACTGACGCTGGGGACGGCGGGCAGGTAAGGCAAGTGGAGTCTCTCCTCGTCCTCTGAGAGC